AAAAAAAAAAAAGATTCAAGAGATCTTAAAATAGAGCATTTAAAATATTATCAGTGCATTCATGAGGAAAGACAAAAATAATACAAAACAAAATGTCATTTCTATCTGAGAAGGAAATACCTGCAGAAATAAAAGTGATGTACATAGAACTCGTAGAAACGTGGGGGGAAATAAATCCACGCACTCGCGTCTGGGCCTGGGTTCCGTGCATCGCTTTCCTTCCCAGTTTTCCAGCTTGTAAAGCCAGTCCGTCCCTTCCATTGGCGGTCGGGGAATCACAGAAAAGAAGTCGACTCTTTCAAACAGCTTCGCTTGGGACTGACGACGCTCACGGTGCTGGTGTTTTTTCGGTGAAACTGCAAATATTCCATTGTTTGACCTATGAATTTTGATCTTAAAGCTAAATAAGGGACAGCTGACAAGCTGACGGGCCCTGCAGGCTCTGACCGAAGGTAACCCCCGCGGCGAAGACTTAGCAAGTCACTTATTAAAGCAGAATAAATTCTAGCCTCGGATCTAGAGAACTCGCATTCGCAGGGAGGGGGGAAAATACTTTTTGATCACGGTGGGGGGGGTTTGGTTTGTGCCTTTTCAACCTTCATAGAGCATCTATAAAAACCTTAACTTCAGTGAAATAAACTAAATGACTTATGCTGACCTGTTTGTTTGTTTTTTTCTCTCCCTTAAAAAAAAATCAACGAAAAGATGAATCTTTCCATTTCCCCCTGAACACGAACAGCCTGATTAAAGTAAAAGATGTTTCCTATGAACTGTCTGCCTTTTAGGAACAACAGGATTTGGGGAAAATTCTGAACCAGCCAAGTTCGAGGAACCTTCCTTAACTCAGCCACCGGGTTTCAATCAGACCCTTGGGCCCTTGCTGAAGCTCAAACATTTCACCTCGGTGACGTCTGCATCGATAACATTCCCCAATTTTCCTAAAACAGGAGCTTTGTTATGTCTGAACTGATGAGTTAGGATGCTTCGAAAACGAAGGAAGACAACTGAACTCCCATCTACCTTTTTCTGGTCAAAAAAAAAGGGGGCAAGTGGACTCAGGTAGCTTATGGCTAATTTATCAAGCACAGTGGAGCAAATACTATAAAACATGTATTTTTAGTGCAAGTCAGAAATCTAGGGGTTTTACTCGAAAGTACTTGCCGGCTAAAGGAAACACACAATTTGGAGCGATCGCTTGAAAAAAGCCCAAATTTAAGTCCAGTCTGAATCATAGTCGACATCATTACAGGACATGAAAAATAGGGTAAAAATTTACACATTACACGCAAAGTAGTTAATGTTTTGATTTACTGGTTTGCAAACTGAAGGCCCGCAGGTGTGTTTCCAATTACACTGGCTTCCACGCCCATCTACTGTAAGGACTTAGGCAGGGTTACGGATTCCGAAGCTAAGAAAAGCAGCGAGGCTTCCAGGTCTGAAGTTTGACCAGCAGGCATCGAGACGCTGCGACATGTCCCTGGTGGACACTAAGCCGACAGAGAACCATTTACAAGGAGACAGAGGGAAAAAATAAAAAATAAAAAAAAAATCCTACAGACTTATTCTGACGGAAAGCTTCCTTTATTAACAGGCTTTTCGGCTTTGAACCTTACAAGACGCTTCCTCGGGCGGCTGGTACATCGCATGGGCTTTTCGGGGCCTTCATCTCAACACAGACCCGAGGGGGCCACGGGAGAGCTCCCCCGGGTTTTCATCCCGCTCGGGCGACCGACTTGTTGTGTTTTATTTATTTATTTTCTTTCTGGCTCGTTTGAGTTCAAGGTCCTTAAACCATCCATGAGTTTCTGGCAAAGGATTTGGTCTCCACTCTGTACACCTGTTTTTCTTTTTCCAAAGGGCAATGAAACGTTCATTATATAGTAACACGCAATAAATAACTCACTGGTAACTCTAAGAGTAGAAGCGGGGTGCCTATTGCATAGCAATACGGGACAATCAGTGAGGCCGGGGCTCGGGATGTATGTACAACTCCACTTAACGGGCTTCTCCTGTTTTTTTTTTTTCTGTTTTTTTTTTTTTTTTTCTTTCACATAATTAACACTCACAAATTCTTCCAGTGTTTATTTTTTTCTTTCCTTTAAAAAAAAAAAAAAAAAAAAAA